CGGGCTTGGCTGCCTACCGGAACAAACGAAAAACAAAAATCAAATAATCAGAGAAAATGATCGGATGCCGAGCCTCTGGTACCTCCGAACTCTTCGGGGAAAACGGGAAAACGTCCACTTTTCCCTAATTTCCCAACACTAGCGGAGGTACTCGTTAACCAAACACTGACAGCCATTGTCGTATGATCCAGACACTCCGACCTGGTTCATACGACGGCTGTACGCAGCTGTGTGGTGCTTCTGCCGGTTCTTGACGAGGGTCTTTGGCGGTTCCCTTGTTCCACTTAGGCCTGCCAGTGGACCCCACAGGAATTCCACTGGAAAAGACGTCTGCCCAATAGGGTGGAAGAACTTTGGATAGTCCCGAAAGAGTTCTGTGGGGACCCCACCACGGAGTGAGTTTTGAGGCAAAATGACTTCAAAATTGTCCATAATAGGAAACATCCCTGCCCACCGTCCCGAAAAGGAAAGTGGTGGTTTGTCTGAGTGGTCCTGCGTCGCTGTACGGCGGTACGTAGGCGACACCACTACGTTCCCGGACCAGCACAAGGCCCGTGCGCGGACACCTTCTCGCCGAACTGGGGGAGGAGACCTTTCAAACTGTCGAGATGCCGACCCCCTCCACACTCTGCACTCGGCACACAATCGCAGCGAGAATCCCTCCCGCGGGACTTTTCCAGCCCTTAAACTATGTGAAAACGGATTGCAGTCCTCTTCCACGCCAAAAAACGCCGGCCGTGGGGTCCCAGGAAACAGTTCCACAGAAAAAATTGTAGTTTTCCAGGACCTCTTCCGCGCGTTGTGAGGTCCTGGAAAACAGTTCTTCTGCGGCAAAGTGTTTCTTTTTTTTTTTTTTTTTTTTGGTAAAGGTGGGATACTAGACGGAGGGCAGCCACCCACAGTACTCAGCCACTCGGTTGTCCAGATGAACCCCTTCTGAAGACCCCACCCACCCTTCCTCTCATCTTTTTGCCCTGGCGCACACCCACTCCCCCTGTCCTACCCTAGTGTTAACCACCCAGGACCATCACTCATTGCCATCTTGGTGGGGTTACCTGACCAGACAGCGGTTGCAGCCACCGGGGCTAAGCAGAGACTCCTACCCCCTGCTCAGCCCCAGTCGAAGCAGACGCCGTGCAAGCCTGATTGCACAGGGACTTCGGGAGCTAGGAATGAACATGCCACTACAGGTCTTCATGAGGGAGCACAGTGACTCCCATCTAGCTTATCAGAGCAGCAGAGCCAGAGCAAACTGACCCGAAGCACGTGCATACAAGCTGCAAAACAGCAAGGTGCACCAAAGAATCTTGAAATTATCAAGTTCTCAACACAAACAGATATGAACGTCAAAGCACAGATAGTCACCGTCGGCCATAGCCGGCGTGACCTCACCTCCTCTCCTACACCATAACAGAGTGAAGCTCTTGAGACGAAGATGCCTGGCGATCCCCGACCAAAAAAAGTTTTGTTTTTTTTTGTTTTTTTTGTCAAGAGGGGGGCAGCCAGGCAAGTGGTCGAAACTAAGGCAGTCGGGGATGCCAGCTACCTCTACCTTTCGACGATTCACATCCTGCGGGGAAACAGATATGAACGTCAAAGCACAGATAGTCACCGTCGGCCATAGCCGGCGTGACCTCACCTCCTCTCCTACACCATAACAGAGTGAAGCTCTCGAGACGAAGGTGCCTGGCGATCCCCGACAAGTTTCGGCCGCTGCCAGTTAGCGACCTCCTCAGGGGGAACTTTCGAGATGCTAACTACGCTACAGTACTCTACTATTAATACCCAACCTGTGCTCATTCAGACACGCTTCGTACCATCATCAAAGGCCCGGCACACGACTTCGGCCGAGGCCCTTGTGCCACATTCTCTGTTCGGGTGATATCATCCCGACTCACCTGGTCCGACGCCCCTACTCATGTACCGGAAAAACCGCCCCCTAGGTCGTCCCAATATTTTCGGGCTACCTTCGATAATCCCCGGAGGCAGTCTCCCCCGCTCAGGAGCACATGTTTTCCGCATTCTAAAACGTGGTTAGCCCGGTACTTTCCGCTTTTTCCATTTGTTCCTGACCTTATTTCCCCCCGCCTTTTCAGTAACCCACCCATTCTTACTCTGCAACCCCACCACAGACCAAAGCCGCAGACACATCCCCCACGTAACCCCTTTGCTCCACAACCTCCCCATCTGATTTGAAATCCATAATCCCGCTACACTAACTGCCCCATAGTAGGTTTAGGCCGTATTCCCTACTTCCAGTTCCTTTACCAATTTCCCAGTCTACGGTTCCATCTGTCCCAACCCGGGGCACATCTCTTCACAAATTTGCTCAGACACTGATTAAACATCCAGGCTGGGTAACCTTGCAGACGCAACTGCCTCTTCACAGTCAATAAGCTTAATCCCACCAGTTCATCATTCGATGTCATCCTCCGAATCCTATAGCGTGCAGGTGATAACAGCCTTCTTCTGCCTAAGCGTAGAGACGGAATCGAAATCTTGAAAAGTGCGGTACGCCAGTCTCTCCTTTCCCTCCCAAACCTGTTCAAAATTCTTCGGAAAATTCTGACACGACACTACATTTTTCTATATTTCCATTCGTGTCCCAAGAAAATCCCAAGTGCCCTTCCCTTCGTCAGTCTGTTTCAGCATGACTTTTTCATCATAAGCATGCTCAAACAGCTCCATAATCCTCCTTCGTCTACGTTCACCGTTCCTCACAGGGCACCAGATGAGAATCGTGACGTCATCAATCAGTCTCATTCCTTTGATCAAGCAGCGGTCCGCACCCAGGCTCAACAAGAAGGCACACTCATTCATTGCACATAGAGTATAGGCCAGTGGGGGGCTGCTACTCTTCCCCATTGGGATACCCACGTGCTGCTGTATCAATCTTCCAGACGCCGATACATACGTGTGCTTCAACTCAAACTCCACCATCCTTCTTATCAGGTCAAAACTTATACCCATCCAGAATTCATTACCGCACTTTCGAGCGAAGGCAGCTCCTTTCCCTCTTCTTCTGATGTTGACCTCAGTTCTACCCTTCTGTTTGTACCATGTGAGCAGCCAGTCTACCGCAGTTAAGATAGAGTCGTGCGGAAGCTGACTAAACATTTCCTTGATATCAAACACTGCTCCAACCAGCTCACCCTCACCTTTCCTTCCCACCCATTTATTAACCTCCTCTACCCTGTCCTTCAGCAACCCCGTGGATTTCAGGTTAAAGTGCATAGGTTTCGGCAGTAAGAACAGCAGGTGGTTTAACGCCCTTGCCACTCGTCTACCTGCCGTCTTCGATGGTTCCGTGAACGACGGGCTGATAGGTCTGAACCTACACACATCTTTGTGTTTAGGCAGGATGTAGGCCCGACCGAATGATCCCTGCTTGTCCCATTTACCGACAGCGTTCATTCCCTCCGCCTTAAACTCCTGCTCACATCGATCCAACAAGTCCCTTTCCGTTCTCCATACCGCTGAGAACCCATCGTTTCCCCAAAAGGTTTTTCTCATACCTTCCGCGTAGACCGATGGGCACATCACTATGGTATCAGCTGTGTTTCGGTCAATTGCACAGCAGACAAGTCCAGAACATATCCTTTGCTTTCCGCAGCAGACTACCCTGTTCCCCACGCGCATCAATACTACCATTCACACAGTCTAACAGCTCACGCAGGCTCACCACAGATTTCAAACCCATTAACTTCATACTACTATTAATTTCGGTCACCGCCTTGTCCCTTCCTTGCTTCCCACCCGCACGTACCACATTCCGAGCATTTAAAACCAAATTCGGTATCTCCCGGATTTCACTGAGTCGGCAATGCACGTGACCCTCCCTCCTTGGGAGAGCACTGTCTGCGCAATTACAGACACCCACAGTCTGCTGAGGGGCAGAGCGGTGGTTATGGAGAACTTCGCCGACGGTAGGGTTTCTTTTCCAAACCATCAGGAGTTTCCGACACATGTATTCCGCAAGTGACACTGGTAATTCCGCCCGGATCTTACCAATCACAACCTCCCGCACTTTTCGTAAGGATAGGCTCCGATCATACGTAGTGCTAACACATAATTTCTTCCTAATATTAAAACCAAATTTCTTCCTAATCACCCCTGCCAACAGATCCTTCAGAGTCTTCCTTGTCCCTTCCCTAGAGAAAAATTTAACTGCAGATACGAGCTCCATGAGTCTATCAAGTCCATACTTAATCAGCCTTTTGGAGTGCCATGGTTCCTAATTGCTTGATGCAACTCTCTTTTCAGAGCCGCGTTGGCCTTTGACAGGGCTCTAATCTGCAGCTTTACGATCTCAATCTCAGCGCCCGCTTGCAAGAATCCCTTCACATCCCCGATAGATTTAGTAATACCATCAATCTTGACCGTTGATAACCCAATTTCCTTAACCACATTTCTCCACTTATGCACCCACACCTTCCCCTCTTTTGTCATAATACTCTTCCTTTCCTCCCACGCTCGTTTACAGATACTAACGAAATCAACCGACTGGAACTCCCCGCACTTGAAAACCATTGGTTGGTCTGTCCGCACATCAAAAGTCCTTGCCTTCTTCCTCTCCTTTCTCCCCTTACGTTTCCTTACCGTCCCCGCCCTCCCGCATCCTTTAGTGTTCAGCGTAGGGCACCACTTCCTAATAAAAGCTCCCTCGACTTTATTAAGATCCTCAGTTGGGACAAAGGCGATAGGCATAGCGACATAATTAGACGAACCATGGTTCCTCATCCAACTGTAAAGCTTCGAGTAACGTGATCCATCCGGGTGATGGGCTCTGTAGCCGTGTTCATCTCATCGGGTACATTCACGCAAGACCCCGGATTTTCCCAGTCGGAGAGATTACTCTCAATAATGTCCACCCAGTTACCTACAAACTTAACTCCCCACTGTATACCCACATTAAGAACGAGCAGAACAATTAAATACCTCAGCACTCCTTCCAGAGCTTCCCGGAGACGCCGGTTCCCTAAAACGGGATCAGTCAGACATAGCCTTCGCAGCTCTACGTACTTACCTAGTTCACTCCAATGGGCGATCGATCTGCTGGTCACTGCTCCCTGGTTCTGACCCCGGAGCAGGTAATTCTCGTGCACGGGGTTCCTCATGCATTTCCCTAATGACGATTCCACCTCCTCGTGGTCTTGGTGTGACCGCCCGTGGCTGGACTGGTACAGCTGGTTGCGTTGGTTCAATACTGAAGTACATCACCCGTATCTCGATTACCTCGTCCACTGCATCGGGTCTTCCCCTATACACAATCCCCGCCTCCCTGCACATCTCTTCCATGGTCGGCTTCAGCTTCTTACTGAGATACTTCCGGATTGCTTTACGGAAAGCATTCGTTGTCAGATAATCATCCGCCGTCGGTGCTCCCTCCCAGAGACTAGAGTCCTGGTATGGATAACCAAGCTGTACATCCCCACTTCGTCCACCCCTCTGTGGGACTCGTAACCGAGGGGATGGCCCCGGTCTTGGGGTAACGGGAGGAGCGGGCATAGCCGCTCTCCCCATCTTGGACGGCGACTCCGTCGGAGGGCTTGCTTGGCAGACTGGAGCTGATTGCCTCTTGCGCTTCTCCAGGCGTTCCTCCTGCAGGTCTTCTTCCTCATCAGAGCTCGACTCCACCATCGGCGCCTTCCCTTTCACTGCTTTCTCAGACACGACTGCCTTGCGCAACTTTTTATCAAACATTATTTCAAATTCTTCCCTCATAGTCTCCTTCTGCTTAGCCAACAGTTTCTCCAACTTCCAATCCCTGTCGGCCTCCTTCTTCTCCTTCGCCTTCTTCCTCTCAAGTTCAGCACGGTTCTTCTCCTCTCTTGCTAATCTTTCATCCTCCAAACGTTTTCTACGTTCCTCTGATTCACGTTTCTCGGTCTCGCGTCGTTCCTCCAGCTCAATCTGCCTTTTCGAGAACAAACACACAGCCTTCAAGGATTCCTCCAGGTCCTTGCTAATGCCGATGACATTCGCCGGTACACCTGCGGAAGAAGAGCTGCTGGCTCCTTCGTTAGGATGAGGCTGCCATCCTTCTCCACCGTTGTTCCCATTCCAACTTGCTCCCCCACCGCTGTCGTTCCAATTCCCGCCGCCTTGATTCTGCCGAGGAGCGTTACACTCACGGCTGATATGGCCCATCTGGTTGCAGTTGTAGCATCTAGCCGATCTTCTCCAGTCCCCACCACCACCTCCACCACCGTTGCCATTGCTACCACCATTGTTCCAGTTCCCGCCGTTGTTCCAGTTTCCTCGACCCCCGTTATTCCAATTTCCTCCATTCCCACCATTTCCGTTTCCACCCCCTCCGCCACCATTGCCGTTACCTCCGTTCCAATTGCCCCCGCCGCCGTTATGGCCGCCATTCCAGTTACCCCCGCCTCCGCCGTTACCACCACCTCCAAAGCCACCTCCATTGCCTCCATTCCAATTACCTCCTCCACCGTTACCGCCACCGTTGCCGCCGTGCCAGTTACCATTCTGTTCGCCACCACTCCCCATTACTCACAAAACAGTACGTGCCTTCCAGACTTCGTCAAGTCAACCTCTCAACCTAAGCATACAGTGCCACCAGAGCACAGGAGAGACATCCTGGCGGGTTGCCACTGTCGGTACTAGATCAGAGCAGCAGAGCCAGAGCAAACTGACCCGAAGCACGTGCATACAAGCCGCAAAACAGCAAGGTGCACCAAAGAATCTCGAAATTATCAAGTTCTCAACACAAAGAGATATGAACGTCAAAGCACAGATAGTCACCGTCGGCCATAGCCGGCGTGACCTCACCTCCTCTCCTACACCATCTAGCTTAGTTGTGTGGTGATGATAGAGAGCTGGGTATCCTCTGTTCCCTCGTATGTCCCTCGAGCCCGTTCCGGCCACGCGGTAAGGTGCAGTATTTCCTGACACCCCCGACATCCACTACTAAGGAACTGCTATGCCAGCCTCAACCCTATGCTACGTACTAGGAGGATAGCCCACCCTGGAGCCCATTCCGGCCCTGCGGTAAAGTGCAGTATCTCCTGACACTCCCGACATCCCGTACTAAGGAACTGTTATGCCAGCCTCGATCCATTGACCATGTACTAAGAGGATGACCAGCCCTAAGATACAGTCTGGTATCGAACACAGGACCTTATGTGAATCGTGCAAGTGACCTAACCTATCGACCTACACTGTGAAATAGTCTGCAGCTGTGCTCTGCTGGGCTCGACTAAACCGGACTAAGCAAACCACCCAGCAGTCTCATGACAACCCCGTAGACCAAGAACATCAGGATACCCACCATCGCCCAGTCCCCACATACAGCAACCATGGACCACCCCGTGGGTAGTGCGCAGGCAGTGTCTGTAAGCAGTCTC